GACTCAACACAGGCAAGAGTATATCTCCCAGAGTCTCATTTCCATACCCCGTGCAACATCGTACAAGGTTTCAGACAATTCCTTATCACTACAGCAAGGAATTGCCTAAAGCTCCTTGGCCACATGGCACTTGTACCTATGTAGTATATGTGACACTATGCCCCATATTCTTCATAGAAATATTGTTGTATGTTTATAGCATACCTAAGATTATTTTATGCAAAATGGGTCTTGTGAGATATCCTTGGAAAGGTTATGATTTCCTGAATATGATTATCCTATTTGTATGCATGTATTATTTTTGTATCTAAAGTTAGGAATATTGACTATATATCTGTACTACAAAAGTGTTTTCACCTGGGGAATGGCCATCAGACAGAATGCAATCAGTCTGAATGTGCCATTAGGAAAAACAATAGGTCTTTGAACATGGTAATCTCCCACCATCCTGGGATGCTACAAATGGCCTCTGACTCATGGCTGCTTTGACACTGAAGAGTCGTGATCAAAGTCACATGGTACTGGACTGGATAATAGAATACCAGTATTTTTCCACTGAGGGGGGTGGGGGAACCACATTGGAAAATGAAGGATTTCTGCCATACGTAAAACCCATTTAAGGCTGGGGAGTGACTTAATCAAGGTCGCTCTTCACTGAATTTTTGCCCAGGATGACTGCTGGTAACATCCAAGAAACAAAGGAGAAGGGGGGAAGGGGAAAGAGCTGAGCCCAGGCTGGGAAGGTGTCTGGCCTGTGAAAGAAATACCTGGAGTTTTAAGCTGCAAGCAAGAGCAGCTTGCCTTCAGGAAACTCTGCAATCTCTCTAAAACAACATTTAGGGTGAGAAATTGCTTCTTGTAACCCGTTTCTTTACTATTAAGCTTAGCTTGCGTGTTTGTTTCATTTGCTGGGTAATCTGCTTTGATCTGTTTGCTAACCCTTATCACTTAATCTATCTTGTGTAGTTAATAAACTTACTTCTGTTTATTCTGAAACCAGTTTGTGGAATTCATAACTGGGGGGCAAAAAGCTGTGCACATCTTCGTCCACATTGTGGGAGAGCGAATTTTATTTACTTACACTGTACAGTTCTCTGCAGCGCAAGACCATACAATTTTGGGTTTACGCTCCAAAGGGGGTGTGCACTTAAGTGCTGGGCAATTCCCTACCTGATTCTTCCCATGCAGAGCTCATGTCAGTGTCCGTGTCTTTCTGAAGCTAGGTGTGTCCCTACCTGTGTGTGTGCTGGAGGAGGCTTGAGGGCCTGGCTCAGCAGGACAGTGTAAGGGAGCCCAGGCTGGTGGAACAGGCAGGCTCGGTGGCACCCTGGAGGGGGCAACTCGTCACAGTACAGCATGCCGGACTGAGGCTCAGACCTCTTCAGGCGTGGTAGCCTTGGTGTATCAACCAATTCGGTATGGTCTAGACACAGTTGTCACTCTACCCTGGCCAGTTCTCGAGTCTCTTCTATGGTGACTCAACCCACAAGCAATGTGTGCAGGTGTTCCCTTCTGCAGACCTCAGCCGTCCCTTTCATTGGTGACAGAGGTGTCAGCGATGGGTTGGAGAGCGCACCTAGGGGAGCTCAGGACCTGTGGTCCCAAGTGGAGCTCTTACTTCATATCAATGTCAGAGAGCTGAGGGCAGTCCGTCTGGCATGCCAGACATTCCAGGTTCACGTGGAGGGGAGATGTGTTTCGATCATGACAGTCAATGCAACAGCGATGTTTTACATAAACAGAAGGGGAGCATGCTCCTCTCCCCTGTGCCAAGAAACCCTCAAACTGTGGGACTTTTGCATAGCTCACTCAATACACCTGGAGGCTTTTTATCTCTCCAACGTTCAGAATGAGTTTGTGGACTGTCTCAGCAGGTCCTTCCACAGCCGTGAGTGGTTCATCCGCTTGGATGTTGTGAACACCATCTTCCAACAGTGGGGAATTCCTCAGATAGACTTGTTCACCACGCAACATAACAGGAAGTGCCTGCAGTTCTGCAGCTTCCTGAATCACAGCCCGGGCTCCATCACGGATACATTCCCTCTTCCTTGGAAAGAGCACCACCTGTACGCATTTCCACCCTTACCACTTCTTCACAGGGTGCTACTCAAAGTTTGAAGGGACGAAGCCGTGGTGCTATTGATAGCTTCAGCCTGGCCTTGTCAGCACTGGTACACGTCTCTCCTGGAAATGTCAGGGGAAAACCCGATCACCTAATTGCTGCTCCAAGACCTGATAACTCAGGATCACTGCCGCCTCCAGCACTCTAATCTCGAATCTCTTCACCTCACGGTGTGGAAGCCCCATGACTAAACCCAATGGAGCTGACTTGTTTGGGCCCAGTTAGGGAAGTCCTCCTTAGTAGTAGGAAACAGTCCACTAGGACTACCTACCTAGGCAAATGGAAAAGATTCACGGTTTGGTCTTCGCAATATCTCCCATTTTCTGCACTCTCGTCAATATCCGTGATATTGGACTACTTCCTGCACCTAAAGCAGCAAGAGCTTTCTATGTTGTCAATAAAGGTCCACGTGGCTGCCATTCCCTCCTTCCATCCAGGAGTGGGAGGCTGGTCGGTGTTTGCCAATCCGATAGTTGGTCGTGTTCTTAAAGATCTTGACAGGCTATACCCTGATGTACAACAGCTGATCCCAGCCTGGGATCTTAACCTGGTTGTTTCCAGACTAATGGGGCCACCCTTTGAACCACTTGCAACATGTTTTCTGTGCTTTCTCTCCTATAAAGTGGCATTCCTGTTAGCAATAACTTCTGCCAGGAGGGTGTCTGAGCTTAAGTCCCTAACATCTGAGCCTCCGTACACTGTGTTCTATAAGGACAAGGTTCAGCTTCGGTCGCATCCGGCCTTCCTCCCTAAAGTTGTCTCCCAGTTTCCTGTTAATTAGGATATTTTTCTTCCAGTGTTCTACCCCAAGTTCTACACAAAGTAGCAGGGAGGAAAAACGTCATTTGTTGGACATTTGCCTGGCGTTAGCCTTCTATATCAAACCGACAAAGCCATTTCAAAAATCTGTTCAGCTGTTCATCGCGGTAGAAGACAGTTTGAAGGGGCTTCCAGTCTCCTCCCAAAAAATCTCATCACGGATTACTTCCTGTATCCGGGCATGCTACGATCTGGCAAAAATACCTGCCCATGCGTTGACAGTGCACTCCACAAGGGCACAGGTGTTGTCAGCGATGTTCCTGGCCCAGGTTCCAACCCGAGAAATTTGCAGGGCTGTGACATGGGCCTCAGTCCACACCTTTACCTCGCATTACGCCATTACTCAGCAGGCTAGAGATGATGCAGCCTTTGGCAGAGCATCGCTGTAATCAGCGAACCTTTGAGCTCTGATCCTGCCTCCAAATTTCGGCTTGGTAATCACCTAAATGGAATCAATATGAGTAATCACTCGAAGAAAAAACAGTTACTTACCTTTTGTAACTGTTCTTCGAGATGTGTTGCTCATGTCCATTCCAATACACACCCACCTACCCCTCCGTCAGATCATGGCTGGCAAGAAGGAACTGAAGTGGCTGCGGGTTGGTGCCATATTCGGTGCCATAGAGGCACAACTCCAGGAGGTGCCTGAATCAGCCCAATGGGTACTGCTAGGGGAAAAACCTTCCAGCTGCCATGCACGTGGCACGAGCACACCTAATTGGAATGGACATGAGCAACACATCTGGAAGAACAAGTTATGAGAGGTAGGTAACTTTTTTTGCACGCATTCAAAATGGGAAATGACGGCTTAGGAAGGAGTACTGCAGAAAGGGATCCTGGGGGTCATAGTGGATCACAAGCTAAATATGAGTCAATAGTGTAATGCAGTTGCAAAAAAAAAAAAAAAGTAACATCATTCTGGGATGTATTAGTAGGAGTGTTGTAAGCAAGACACGAGAAGTAGTTCTCCCACTCTGCCCCGTGCTGATTAGGCCTCAGCTGGAGTATGGTGTCCAATTCTGGGCGCCACATTTCAGGAATGATGTGGACAAATTGAAAAAAGTCTGGAGAAGAGCAACAAAAATGATTAAAGATCTAGAAAACATGACCTAAGTGGGAAGATTGAAAAAAAAAATTGGGTTTGTTTAGTCTGGAGAAGAAAAGACTGAGCGGGGACGTAAGTTTTTCAACTATATAAAAGGTTGTTACAAGGAGGAGGGAGAAAACATGTTCTCCTTAACCCCTAAGGATCATACAAGAAGCAATGGGCTTAAATTGCAGCAAGGTCGATTTAGGCTGGACATTAGGAAAAACGTCCTAATTGTCACGATGGTTTAGCACTGGCGTAAATTGCTTAGGGAAGTTGTAGAATCTCTGTCATTGAAGATTTTTAAGAGCAGGTTAGACAAACACTTGTCAGGGATAGTCTGTATAATACTTAGCCCTGCCATGAATGCAGGGGATTGGACTAAATGACCACTTGAGATCCCTCTAGTCCTACGATTCTGACTGGGAAGTCAGATGAGATGAACAGGCCTTATAATCTATGAATGAAATTTCCATACTAAAATTTTGTTTAATAATAATTTAGTTACAAGGATAGCTCTGTAACTTAATGTTAAAATTCTGTACAGAAATTCTGTAGCTAGCAAAAAAAGGACATAGTTAAGGTTAAACTTACAAGACAACTTCCTATCTTAAGCATAATTTATGGCTAAAATGTGATCATATGCTATGTCAACAGTAAATCTATTGGTGGGTCGATTAGTTTGTTAGCATGTTAGTCCCATATCAGTTTAAGTTTTGTGATTGGTGTATAGAATTTTTATAATGGAAAAGATATTCTAGGTCAGAAGTTCAAGATCTAAGTGGGACTAGGGTAAAGTGGGTCAGATTTTTGTTTGGAGAGGAGTGAGATGATGGAAGGCGCTTAGGATCAAAAAACCTTGATGGTACTTTCATCATTTTGTCTCTGTCTGTGTGTGTGTGTCTGTGTGTGGTTTTTATATATATTCAGAATGAATGTGAGAAAACTAATGGTATCTGAATTCTTTTGTAGGTGGAAGATACATGAAGCCTGTATGCTGGCACTGGGCTCCGTGAAATCTGTTATCACAGACAGTGTGAAGAATGGTAGAATCCATTTCGATATGCATGGATTCCTGACAAATGTTGTTCTTGCAGATCTCAATCTGTCAGGTATGTCAGCAAAAATTCTTTGAGTAGTGGTAATTGCTGCGCATCTGGTAGCCCAGAACCATTGAAAAGCATTTCCAAATATAGGTGTTCAGTGTATGTAGAGGAACTGATATGGTTGATAAGGTGGAATACTGTTGCACAGAAATATTTGGGGGAAACTGCACAGGTAGAGGGGCATCGTATTTGCATGCCCTGCCACATTTCACACACAATGTAAACTTGCTTAATCTAAGCCAGTCTACTTTCAGTTGAAACTTCCTGTGTAGGTGGATGGCTCTGAACTTGTAGGATCCTCTGAGGGTGGAAGGGATACTATCTTGGGGAGCTCTCCAGGAGTTAGAAAAGTCAGTAGCATCCTTTGAATACTTTAAAATAATCCCAGGAGGTCTGTAACATCTAGTTTTAAATTAATCTGTTTTGGTCTCCATTCAAACCAATAATAATAATAATAGCTGATTATGTACTATGCAGGGGATCTCCTCACTTTCCCATCTTAACTTTCCCAGGGAGGCGTAAAGAATTGTTAAAATGGACTGCCAGTGATTCATGTTTAAGAAAACAGGTCAATCTGTAATTTTGACCTACTTGGTTTGAAGTGTGTGTTGTGTTAAATATGCCAGGCTCTTATTGGAGAAGTGAGCAGTTTGAGAGACTAGATAAGCAATAGTGTTGATTTCACTGTGACGGGGTGTACCAACCCCACATTGGGTCAGTGGGATGGATCAATTACTTGAGCCCAGAAGGCCATGCCCCGTTTCCCCTGCTGTGCATGCTCCAGATGGAAGAGCCAGATAAAAGAAGGCAGCCCAGCTCAGTCAGGGCTGACTGTGGAGGAGAAAGGACGTGTACTGCAGGTTCCTGCAGAGGTGCCTGCGACACTCCAGGTGGTAGAGCCTGAGGACCCGAATTGTGCTGCAGGTGACTTGCTGACTGTGAAGACTGACGGAGAAGCCAAGCTGCTGCCACCTGAGGAGATGCCCAGGACACAACTTGTGTTAGGAAGTGACCCAGGGAAGGTAGTAGAAGCCGATGCCTGAACACCTAGGTGGGAGTTCTCTGGCTTCATAGGGACCTGGGTGAAGAGGGCAGGGCCGGGTTTCCCTACTAGCCCCATAGGCCACCAGGCGTGACTGCTTGTCTGCTCGTCTGCTCTACGTCCCAGCCCAGAAGCGTAGGGGTTATAGACTGGTTGTTTTGCCCGGCCAAGGGGCCATAGACTGATAGCTGTTTTGCTCTGCCCAGGGGGCCAATTCCCCCAATTGCTACTACCTACCCCAGCCAGGAGGCTTAGGGGCCATAGACTGTTTGTTGGTTTTGCCCCACTAGTGGATACAGACTGATCATAGTTCTGTCTTGTCGAAGGGGGCCAGGACTCCAGTTCTGGGCGTCAGTCCCAGCCCGGAGGCTCAGGGGCCACAGACTGTTTGTTTACGTGGCTCTGCCAGGGGACCAGAGCACACCTTGCTGCAACTCTCTGTATTAGCAAGAAAACCTGACAACAGTGTGATGGGGTGTACCAACCCTGCACTGGGCCAATGGGGGTGGCCCAGCTCGGCACCCAGAGCCCCCATCACATTCACATTTAAGTTTTCTCTGCACTGAAGCAATTTACTAAAACAGTACTACCAGTTCTGGCTCTGGTTTTGCAGGGTGGGAACCATTTTTGCTGTTGTCCGTTAGTTCTGGGCGTAGACATGGCTTTAGATGCCCAGAGTAGTGGATGGAGACAGACTCTTAGTTATGACTTTCTGCTTTCAAGTTCAATTTGGTTTAATTCAGCAACGAAGTCTGAAACTCCCTGCCAGCTACTGTAGTGTTTCTAACTGTTTTTATCCTTGTTTCTTTTCCAGAAATGTTTCTTTGCCTATCAGTTTTTCCCTTTTTGGATTGGATAATATTGGATTTTTTTTGTTTTCTAACAAAACAATACAATTCATGCTCTTTACATCCCTCTTTAATCAACTTGACTCTGCGGAGATCCTATCTACTTCCAGGGCTACTGCAGGAAGGGAAGCAGTTGTGATCCAGGTGTTACCCAGGGTCTTAAGAATCCACTGCAGTGGTAACTAAATTGTTTTATTCCTGCCACTGCCTGGAATGAATCAATGGGAACAAAGCAATTCCGTCTGATAAAAGATTAATGCAAGTCAGCGTGTTCTATCTAAAACTGCAGTTTATTAGATTTAAGCACACACAGACATAAGCAATATTTTCCTAAAATCGGGAATAGTATTTTGTAATTAACAGCGGGTTTGCAGTGGCCAGTTGCTCACCTGCCGGGGAGAAAAGGTGTCAGGAAAAACATCTCTCAAGATGGTTTCAGAGGACTGCTTCAAAATACGCTCTATTAGCTAGTCTTTTATAACTAACTTCTGCAAAACACATAGGTCATAATGACCCCTACTAAATCATCACTTTTCCTAACTTTCAATAAACTACTTATCAACAAACATTCCTAACAATCTTAATTATAGTACTTCTATATCAGAGGTCCTCAAATTCAAGGTTCTTGTCACCCAAGGTTTTCAGTCTGTTGACTTTTTTCTTTCCCCTCCTCCCATTCTGATTAGCAGAAACTGACAGCTACTTTTGACCTTGCCTCTAAAATCCTGCTTTCAAATTAATCCTATACTATGTGGTGTTGTATTTTAATAATTCATGGAGGCTGAATGCACATAATATGGTTACAATTAGCTTGATCACAGTCTGGGTGGGGTACACACACCCCTCAAATCTGGGGCAACACAGAAAGGGAGAATTCCTGGTCTTTGTGGGCCTCCAATAGCTCTGGACTCCCTGGGGTGCATTCTTTAAGAATTTTTTAGGGAAATTTTGCTTTTCAAATAGACTGATTCAGAACATCAGTCACGCTGGGAAGGGAAACTTGTGTGGGGCTGTGGTTAGGAAGAATTCTTCCCTTCCATGCAGATCACATTTTAAGTGTGCTGCTCTTCTGAAAAGTGACTTTTCCCTTTTTACCCTGCTGATCTGTTCCCTGTGAGCATTCAGAGTTTGATCTACTGACTTTGTGCTCCTGTTCAGCATGAAGCAACCTGCCTTATTTACAGACTAGTTGCAGTGCACAAGGCCCTGTGGCCTCAAGCTTTTCCCTCTTCATTCCTTAATATCCAAGGCTATAGAGGGGTCTGTGATTCCATGTCCTTGTCTTCTTTGCTGCCTGCAAATGTCTAACTATCTTATTGTCTTGACTGCTATAGAATCTTTTTTACCATATTTCACAAGTTAGCAATCAAGAAAACGCAAACAAAAAAATCCAAACAAAAACCTTGGGATGACCTGCAGTTTTTAAATTGTGTTGAGTTTTGCTGGCAAGTGCAGCAGGAAACCCAGAGCACAGGCTCCTTCCCTCCGATCCTTGACACCTGGCTTCCACAGGACATTGCCTGTGTCACCCGCCATCACTAAGATCGGTTTGATCAGAATGATGCTGAGATTCAGGGCCTTGCTATATATGGTCCTCACTTCCCAAAAGGTTCACCAGTTCCTAATAAACTTAAACCTCTCCTCCTTACACCATTGTCTCATCCACACATTGAGTCCCTGCCTTTCTGGCATTGTGCATAGAATTAGAAACATTTCAGACAGTTGTATCATGGAGGTCCTTTAATCTCTTATCTAGCAGCCTAAATTTGCCTTCAGGACCTTTCCCCTAGCTTTTCTTCTGTCATTAGTACTTGCATATACCATGACCACCGTTCCTCCCTAGCACTCTGCACATAAGTTAGTCTAGATGTCTCCTGAGATCTGCAACCTTTGTGCCCAGCTGGCAATTTGCTATGTGGTTCTTTCAATCATCAGGTGCTTGGGGAGTCTGCTCAGATGTCCACTATCCTTTGATAAAGTGGCTAGCTAATTAATGAGCTTGCCTTGTTCAAGAGAATATCTTGAGCAGTGAAAGATAATACCTCACTGGGCTTCAAGGCCAGGGGAAATTGGCTGGAGTCTCCCTGGGTATAATTCATGAGTGGCTTAGAGACCATTCATGCAACTCAGCTGCGTATCTCTCTCCACCTGTTGATGGATGAATGATCACAGCAACCTGATAGCTGGAGGAGTTTGCTGCTTGTCACTAGCATAGCATTGTGAGAGACAGCCCAAGGCTTGGGCTATACTGTCGGGGGGGACGGGGGGCGGGTTTCGAACTAAGATATGCAACTTTATCTTAGTTGACTTCCTGGCCATCCTCATGGCGGCGAGTCAACTGCGGCGGCTCCCCCATCGACTCCGCTTACTCCTCCTGCCAAGGTGGAGTACAGGCTTTGATTCGGGGATTGATTTATCGCGTCTAGATGAGACATGATAAATCGAGCCCCGATAGATTGATCACTACCCTCCGATCCAGTGGGTGGTGAAGCCGTACCCTTAGATGGAGAGTTTAAGGGGACTCAGCGGTCCCACAGTCTAGGTTGTACCCCAGTGGTACATTACACCCCCATTAATACTAGCCCATGTGTGTTAACTAATCTTGTTACCAGCTTGCAGAATGACTCATCCACTTCCTCATCCTGATTTGGTGTCTATAATAGACCCCCACCCTAACATCACTACTGTTCTTTTCCCTTTCTAGCCTCACTCAGAGACTGTCAGTAGGTCTGTTGCTCACTTCCCTTTGGACCTTGGACCAAGTGTACACATTCCTGACATATATTTTCAATAATAGAATCCCCCATTAGAATTACCTTGCTCTTTCTAGTAACTGGAGTTTCTTCCCCCGGGAGGGTATCCTCAGTGCAAGAGGATACAATGACATCATCTGGAAGGAGGGTTCCAACTATGGGATTGTTTCCCTCCACTCCAGCTTGATGTTCTCCTTCCTTGAAACTTTCATTATCCTTAACAGCTGTCGGACTGGGGGTGGGACTGCTCTATTGTGTCTCTGAAAGTCTCCTCTATGTACATCTGTCTCCCTCATAAATATGATAAACTTGATAGTCTCCACTCTGCTGTTTGGTTTTCTGCTTGCATTAGTTTTATCGTTGCAGTTGTAGCGGGGTGTGTGTGTGTTTGTTTTATTCGCCTAGTCCATCCGCAAGCCAGAGCTTCCTTCCACCGGCACTGACGATAACACTGATAGAAACAGATCCCACAGTATGAATATTTTTGTGATAATCCTCATCTATGTCAGAGCTTCATCTAGAACGTAGTGACTGCCAACCCATCAGCATTTAGTCCTCCCCAAATCTGCTAACTCAGGAGAATGGTTGGATTAGACATCCCAACCTAAATTCCCTCACAGCCCTCAGCCCTACCTCTGCTACACATCGCCTCCATATTGGTGCACATAACAAAATTCATTCCACACATGGATGTAATAAATTAGAGGGAACATTGATCCCAACCTGGACTCTCCATCTCACAACTTGGTATTTAAATGGCCAGCAAGTCTACAGCATTTGTGATTGGAGGCCATTCAAAATATTCTTAATGACAGCAGGAAGGATTTTACCAGAAAATGTTTTCTGGCCAAACGGAGGTTTTTCTGTACCTGGGCAGAACAGAACCAGTTATCAGGGCTAGTAGATATCTCTGTAATTTTAGACTACCTCCTCACACTCAAGATATCAGGTCTTTCTGTTAGCTCACTTCAGGTCCACCTAGAAGCAATCAGTGCATTCCACCTCCGTAGTATTCTATTTTTACTTTCTCTGTCACAAACACATTCCTAAACTGTCTGACTAGGACTCCCCACCAGTAGTGAAGCCAATGCTGAAGTGGGATCTCAATATCATACTTTCAGCCCTTTCCAGGCCACCTTTTGAACTGTTGGCCACAGTTCAATGTCCCAACTTTCTATGATGGTCACCTTCCTGGTTACTGTTATGTAGGCCTTGGAGGGTGGTGGGTGAGCTGGGGGCCCTCATGGTTGACGCACCATACATTACATTTCATAAGAGAAGATATCCTTTGCCTCCACCTGAAATTCATCTGGAAGGTAATTTCCAAATTCCACATAAACCAATCAGTTTTCTTACTGGTATTTTTCAGGAAGCCTCTTCCCTTCAGTGAGGGGAGGGGACTTCATAGAACCATAACATTAGAAGAGACAGCACGGGTTCTCTAGTCTAATCTGCTGCCAATGTGCAGGATTTATTATGTCTAAATCATCCAAGACAGATGGCTATCCAGCCTCTTTTTGAAAACCTCCAGTAAAGGAGATTCCATAACTTTCCTAGGCAGTTTGTTCCATTATCCTACTGCTCTTACAGTTAGGAAGTTTTCCCTGAGATTTAATCTATATCTGCTATGCTGTAGTTTGAATTTATTGCCTCTTGTCCTCTGTGGCAAGAGGGAACAATTTTCTCCATCTTTTTTATGGCAGTCTTTCAGGTATTTGAAGACCATTATCATATCCCCCTTTAATCTCCTCTTTTCCAGATTAAACTTACCCATTTCTTTCAGCCTTTGCTCATATGGCTTGCGTTCCGTCCCTTTGATCCTCTGTGTCGCTCTCCTCTGGATCATATACATTGGTATAATTGGACACAGTCCACAGACACAAAATTGGACACAGTCCTCCAGCTGAGGCCTAACCAGCGCTGAGTAGAGTGGTACTATCATCTCCTGTGACTTGCATGCTATGCCTCTGTTAATGCAACCTAAAATTACATTTGCTTTTTTTAAACAGCATTGCATTGTTGATTTATGCTGAGGTTGTGATCCATCAAAACTCTCAGATCCTTCTCAGCAGTGCTGCTGTCAAGCCAGTTTTCCTCCATTCTGTATTTGTGCATTTGGTTTCATTTTGTTGTCTGTAGCCCAGTTCTCCAATATATCAAGAGATCCCTTTGAATTTTAGTTCTGTCCTTCAAAGTGTTTGCAAACCACCAACCCCCACCCCCGCTTTGTGTCATCTGCAGATTTGATCAGTATGCTCTCTATTCCTACATCCAGGTCATTAATAAAGATGTTAAACATCACCAGACCCAGAAAGATCCCTGTGGAACCCCACTTGAGACCTACTTCCATTCTTTGTATGCAGTTGTTTAACCAATTACGTATCCACATAATAATAGTTCCACCAAGCCCACGTTTCTCCAGCTTATTTATGAGACTGTAATGTGGGACGGTGTCAAAAGCATTGCTAAAGTCCAGGTATATTATGTTTGACTGTGTTTCCCCCTATCCAGTTCCTTTGTCAAAGAAGGAAATCAAGCCGGTTTGGCGTGATTCCATGCTGGCTGCTAGTGATCACTTCATCCTCCAGATATTTGCAAATTGAATGTTTTATAAATTGCTCTAGTAGCTTCCCAGGTATTGAAGTCAGGCTGACTTGCCTTTAGTTCCCTGGCTCTTCCTTTTACCCATTTTTAAAGATGGACACCATGTTAGCCCTTCTTCGGTCTTCCAGGACCTCTCCTGTCATCCATTAGTTGGCAAATATTATCGCCAGTGGCTCCAAGATTTCTTCAGCTAATTCCTTCAGTACCCTCATGGTGAATAGCATTCAGCCCCACTGATTTGAATTCATTCAAATTGGTCAGAAGATCTGACGTGTTCTTTACTTATCCCAATCTGCATCTCTTTCCCTTTATTGTCTGTGATGTCTTAGCTAGTCATACGGTTGAAATCTGCCCTTTTGAAGTCCAGTGGCCTTGTTTTGCTGTTCTCATGTCCTCCTTTCCTTAGGATCTTGAATTCTATTGGATCATGATCACTTCTTCCCAAGTTCCCGGCCACCTTTGCATTCACAACTAATTCATCCCTGTTGATCAAAACGAGATCCAAAATGGATGACCCCCTTGTTGTTTCCTCAACTTTCTGAATCACAGAATATCAGGGTTGGACGGAACATCAGGAAGTCATCTAGCCCAACCCCTGCTCAAAGCAGGACAATCCCCAACTAAATCATCCCAGACAGGGCTTTATCAAGCCTGACCTCAAAAATTTCCAAAGACAGCGATTCCACCACCTCCCTAGGTAACGCATTCCAGTGCTTCACCACCCTCCTAGTGAAAAAGTTTTTCCTAATATCCAACCTAAACCTCCCCCACTGCAACTTGAGACCATTAATCCTCATTCTGTCATCTGATATCACTGAGAACAGTCTAGATCCATCCTCTTTGGAGCCCCCCTTCAGATAGTTGAAAGCAGCTATCAAATCCACCCTCATTCTTCTCTTCCGCAGACTAAACAATCCCGGTTCCCTCAGCCTCTCCTCATAAGTCATGTGTTCCAGGCCCCTAATCATTTTTGTTGCCTCCGCTGGACGTTTTCCAAGTTTTTCACATCCTTCTTGTAGTGTGAGGCCCAAAACTGGACACAGTTCTCCAGATGAGGCCTCAACAATGTCGAATAGAGGGGAACGATCACGTCCCTCGATCTGCTGGCAATGCCCCTACTTATACATCCCAAAATGCCATTGGCCTTCTTGGCAACAAGGGAACCCTGTTGACTCATATCCAGCTTCTCGTCCACTGTAACCCCTAGATCCTTTTCTACAGAACTGCTGCCTAGCCATTCGGTCCCTAGTCTGTAGCGGTGCATGGGATTCTCTGTCCTAAGTGCAGGACTCTACACATGTCCTTGTTGAACCTCATCAGATTTCTTTTGGCCCAATCCTCTAATTTGTCTAGGTCCCTCTGTATCCTATCCCTACCCTCCAGCGTATCAGAAAGTTGTACCCTATACATGCTAACAACATTACAGGACATATTATGATTTGTTGTATTAGTCTTCCAACAGATATCAGGGAAGTGATATAAGATGTCAGACAAGCATTGGTGTTCCACCTGCAGAAAACTAAACCAGTCAGAAAATCGCCTAAGCTGTTTGTTACTGTAGCAGAATGAGCACAGGGACAAGCAGTATCTGCTCAGAAGCTCTCTAAGTGGATATATGTCTGTATCCTCCTTTGCTATCAGTTGGTGCAACTCCCTCCTCCAGACAGGGAGAGGGCCTATTTCACTAGAGCGCAGGCAACTTCAGTAGCATCTCTTTGAAAAGTGCATATGATGTAAGACAGTAACCTGGAGTTCATCCACACTTTCACAAAGCATTATGCTTTGGACCAAGCCTCTTCTGCCAATACAGTCTTTAGAATCACAGCATTACAGACATCTGTAGCAGCTGCATCTGTGCACACACCTCCTATTTGAGTACTGTTTGCCAGTCACCCTTGCATGGAATACGCTTAAGTACCAGAACTCGAAGAAATGGAGGTTACTTTCCTGTAATCGGAGGTTCTTCAAGATGTGTGGTCCCTGTTTGTATTCCACCACCCACCCTCCTTCTCCTCTGTGTTGCATCATGATTAGATTTGCAGTAGAGAAGGAACTGGAGAGGTTGTTGGTCCTCACTTCTCCTTGTACCCTTGGTGCTGAGCACAGAGGTGTGAACCAATGAACACTACTCTCAGTATGTTCTAGTCTCAGGTGCATGAAGCACATGCATACCCACACCTATAATACAGATAGGGATCTAGTTACAGGTGTGTAACCTCTGTTTCTTCCTATTCTGTCATGCAGGCTGGATTCAGTCCACAGGGAAGACATTTGGTGGTCCTGCTTGTAAGCCTTCTTTATCATATAGAGAAACTTTCTCTATTAGTATATCAGACAAATATTGCATTTTTTGAGATGGCAGGGTTTTGCTGCGGGTGGGGGGGAATAGCAATAGTTCTAGATTTCTTAAAATTCACATTTATTCTGTCTTCTTTCAGTGTCTCCTTTTCTGCTTGGTCGTGCTCTTTGGGCTGCCAGTCGCTTCACAGTTGCTATGTCTCCAGAATTAATCCAGCAATTTCTGCAGGCCACAGTCAGTGGTCTACATGAGACCCAACCTCCTTCAGTCCGGATCTCTGCAGTCAGAGCTATCTGGGGGTAAGTTGATCATGCATTATGATGGGTCTTGGTGGATTGTGAACTAATGGAAGAGGAAAGGAATCATTTGAGGATGGAAGAGCTTGACACAGTTGGTGGTAAAACAGAAAAGTTGATGTATGTTCCAGCGAAGCACACTTTTCTGCATGTCGCTGATGTCAGATCTTGTACATGAACGACTTACAGATCGGTCATCAAATAACTGAAGTAAATCTCACTATTTTTAGTAAACGTTTGAGACTGAATTTTAACTGAACATAAGTTATGATTTGATGGAACCTGTGGAATTCCATTCCATCAAAAAGCACACTGTAGTTTTTTTGATCTGCCAGCCTGCAAATTTGGGACTGTGTGTGTCTGGAACCCAGGATAAACCTTGGGTTAATATAACATGTTTCCTCAAGGTGGAATTTCACTGTTCCTCTTTGAGTGATTGCTCATGTCTATTCCATGTTAGGGGTGTGTGCTCACCACATGCACTGGTGCTGGAAGTTTCTCCCTCCGTGGTATCTGTAGGGGTCTGGCTCTGGTGCACTCTGGAGTGGTGTGCATATGCGCCAATGTAAGGGGTGCTGCCAGTCTCCTCCATTCCTCAGTTCCTTATCGCCAGTGACGATACTGGAAGATCTCCTTGCTTCAGCAAGCGCTTACCCAGTGGTTTTTTCTCTTTACTGTTGTAAATAATTGAGATAAGTAGTTTCTTTTTTTTAACGACTAGCGAATTAGAATTGTAGATAAGTTAGATAGTCCCCTTTGGGACTTAGCCCAGAGATGGGGCATACTCTGGTCCCTGGGCTTCAAGCCTTGTGATGGCTGTAGAAAGCCCATGCTGATCAGCGACCCCCATTAAAGTTGCTTGAAATGTTTGGGAGAAGCCCATATTAGCAATAAATGTCGCAAAAAATGAGCTGGACATAAGGCTGAGAGCACTCCTCATGGAGTCGGACCTTGCGCCGGTCTCTGAACCAGCAAAATCTGACACTGCACCGAGAAGGGTGGCATCAGTGTGAAGTGCACCTCTGGCCGGGTCCCAGTCCCCGGAACCAGGTAAGAAGCAGAGGAAGCATGCTGGGTGAGGGCATTCCCCGACATTCTGTGTGGGGAAAAGGAAAGTCCAGAGATGAGCATAGGCCCTTGCAGGGGGCACAAGTCTCCAGAGGCCAGCCAGGCACCTGTGTTGCCAGTTAGGCCCTCCAAGAGACCCACCAGCCACCCCAGATAGTGGCAGAGGTCCCCGCACCTGGAAGTCCTGTCCACGCTGGAGGCCTTCCAGACTGCAAAAGACAACATATCTTTTCTGGTGCCACCAACGCCCCACCTAGATGTAATCATTTCCAGGGGGAAGCTGCCACTGGGACCTGTGTCATGGTCTCCATCTGTGCAGTATTGCTCCCCGGCACCATGGCGGTCGACGTCAAAGTGACAATCCCCCAGGACGTGCTTTCAACCTGCCCATAACTGACCGAAGTTCCCAACACTGTTCGGGGGACTTTTGGCACCGGTCCCCCATGGGATGGCATTGCTCTCCTGATGGCCGACGCAGGGCCACAGCGCACTACCAATCCCCAGAATGGCATGGGTCACCAGAAGGGAGAGATCTGTCCTCAGGGTGAGGGACCCCATCTGGGCCAGTGCGAGGCCCATCCCCGGCACTGAGGCACAGATTGTTGGACTTGTGACATTGGTCACATGGATCGAGGCAGCGCTCCTTGCCATCCTGTTCTTGGTCACTGAACTCACTACACCGATCTCAGAGCTCTAGGCGTGGATCGCCAGGTTACAGTCGCTGATCTGCTGAGCTCAGTCACTGGTCCCCAAGCAGACAGTTACAGGACCCGGATCCCCGGCACTGGTCCCCCTCTGTAGATGTCAGGATAACCGGCCACGAAGAAGACTTCAAGGCTACATTGGTACCACAGTGGTCTCCAATGCAAATTCCTCCTAGGGCTCAGAGTAGGAGGAGGTAGTGGACCAGTTGGGCCAGGTGCGCCCAGCCAAATCTGGGGGGTCCCCCAGGGCCACGAGCCAGTGTATGGCTCGCCTCATGGCTGTTTTGGAATCCATGGGGCGTTCTCCAGGTGACAGAGAACCTCATACTGCTCTCTGTGTCAGGAGTGTCCGAGAGGTCGGTGACAATGTCCCACACGCCCCCCGGTTCTGACTAAGGGTCCAAGCAAGGTACCCAGGAACACCCTTCCTCCACCGGCCTCAGTGGAGGCCACGCAAGTGGGGGAAGTGGGACCAACCCCTCCTCCTGCCCTTAGGATCATAGAATATTAGGGTTGGAAGAGACCTCAGGAGGTCATCTAGTCCAATCCCCTGCTCAAAGCAGGACCAACACCAACTAAATCAGAGGGGGCCAACCTGAGCCTGAGAAGGAGCCAGAATTTACCAATGTACATTGCCAAAGAGCCACAGTAATATGTCATCAGCCCCTCCATCCACTCCCGCCCCCTGCTCCCAGTGCCTCCTGCCTATCGGCAGCCCCACTGATCAGCACCTCCCCCTCCCTCCCCGCACTTCCCAATCAGCTGTTTCATGGCATGCAGGAGGCTCGGAGGGGGAGGAGCAAGGGCACAGCAGGCTCAGGGGAGGGGGTGGGAAGGGGTTGAGTGGGGGCAGGGCCTGTGGCAGAGCCAGAGGTTGAGCAGTGAGCACCTCCGGCACATTGGAAAGTTGGCAACTGTAGCTTCAGCCCCGGAGTCAGTACCTATACAAGGAGCCACAAATTTACTTCTGAAGAGCTCCATGTAGCTCTGGAGCCACAGGTTGGCCACACCTGAACTAAATCATCCCAGCCAAGGCTTTGTGAAACTGGGCCTTAAAAACCTCTGAGGATAGAGATTCCACCACCTCCCTAGGTAACCCATTTCATTGCTTCACCACCCTCCTTGTGAAATAGTGTTCCCTAATATCCAACCTAGACTTCCCCCACTGCAACTTGAGACCATTGCTTCTTGTTCTGTCATCTGCCATCACTGAGAACAGCGTAGCTCCATCCTCTTTGGAACCCCCCTTCAGGTCTGAAGGCTGCTATCAAATCCCCGCTTGCTCTTCTCTTCTGCAGACTAAATAAGCCCAGTTCCCTCAGCCTCTCCTCGTAAGACATGTGCCCCAGTCCCCTAATCATTTTTGTTGCCCTCTGCTTGACTCTCTCCGATTTGTCCACATCCCTTCTGTAGTGGGGGGACCAAAACTGGTGTGGCCTCCAGGTATGGCCTCACCAGTGCCAAATAGAGGGGTATAATCACTTCCCTCGATCTGCGGGCAATACTCCTGCTAATACAGCCCAATATGCCATTGGCCTTCTTGGCAAGAAGGGCACACTGCTGACTCACATCCAGCTTCTCGTCCACTGTAATCCCCAGGTACTTCTCTGCTGAACTGCCTCTTAGCCAGTCGGTTCCCAGCCTCTAGCGGTGCATGGGATTCTTCCTTCCTAAGTACAGAACTCTGCACTTGTCCTTGTTAACCTCATCAGATTTCTTTTCATAGAATCATAGAATCATAGAATATAAGGGTTGGAAGGGACCCCAGAAGGTCATCTAGTCCAACCCCCTGCTCAAAGCAGGACCAATTCCCAGTTAAATCATCCCAGCCAGGGCTTTGTCAAGCCTGACCTTAAAAACCTCTAAGGAAGGAGATTCTACCACCTCCCTAGGTAACGCATTCCAGTGTTTCACCACCCTCATAGTGAAAAAGTTTTTCCTAATATCCAATCTAAACCTCCCCCACTGTAACTTGAGACCATTACTCCTCGTTCTGTCATCTGATACCATTGAGAACAGTCTAGAGCCATCCTCTTTGGAACCCCCTTTCAGGTAGTTGAAAACAGCTATCAAATCCCCCCTCATTCTTCTCTTCTGCAGGCTAAACAATCCCAGCTCCCTCAGCCTCTCCTCATAACTCATATGTTCCAGACCCCTAATCATTTTTGTTGCCCTTCGCTGGACTCTCTCCAATTTATCCACATCCTTCTTGAAGTGTGGGGCCCAAAACTGGACACAGTACTCCAGATGAGGCCTCACCAATGTCGAATAGAGGGGAACGATCACGTCCCTCGATCTGCTCGCTATGCCCCTACTTATACATCCCAAAATGCCATTGGCCTTCTTGGCAACAAGGGCACACTGCTGACTCATATCCAGCTTCTCGTCCACTGTCACCCCTAGGTCCTTTTCCGCAGAACTGCTGCCTAGCCATTCGGTCCCTAGTCTGTAGCTGTGCAAATGAGCAGGAGATAGAACGGGGAGATAGAACTCCTGCTCTTTTGGCCCAGTCCTCCAATTTGTCTAGGTCACTCTAGACCCTATCCCTACCCTCCAGTGTATCTACCTTTCTGCACAGCTTAGTGTCATCTGTGACCTTGCTGAGGGTGCAATCCATTCCATCATGCAGATCATTAATAAAGATGTTGAACAAAACCAACCCCTGGGGCACTCCGCTCGATACTGGCTGCCAGCTAGATCACTACCCGTTGAGCCCGACAATCTAGTCAGCTTTCTAGCCAGCCCTTGCCGCCTCCTCGTCCTTGTCTGACAGAGCCACAGGACGATGCAACGGTACAGTAGAAGCTGCTGAAGAGGGTGGTGGCAAACCTGGGTTTGGAGGCAGAGGAGTTAGCAGAACCCTCTGACACTTTGTTTGATATTTTGGCCTTGGTGGCCCCGTCCAGGGTGGCACTCCCCATTCATGAAGGAATAGTAAAGCTGGTAAAAGCTTTATGACAAACCCCGTTCTATCTCCTGCTCATTTCCAAGCGGGTAGAGAGAAAATATTACATCCCCACGAAGGGGTTTGAATACTTGTATTCTCACCCGGCCCCGAACTCTCTAGTGGTTTCGGTGGCCAACGAGAGAGAGAGACAGAGGAAAGGGCAACCAGGCCCAACTCCCAAAAATAAGGACGGCAAAAGGCTTGACTTATTCGGGAGAAAAGTTTATTCGTCTGCCAACCTCCAATTATGAGTAGCAACCCATCAGGCCTTACTCGGGAGGCAT